ATCTTGTACCTAAATAATTGAATAATTTTTAAATTTTAAAAATAGAAAGATATAAAATAAATGGCTATCTGCAATTGCTTATAATTTCCAATTTGACAAAAAAAATAATAATGAGAAATAAATAATACTTACAGATGCAGAACCTGTGAATAGACTTTGAAGTAATGAAATATCAACTTCATCTTGTTTTATTTTGATATATCGATGCCACTTATCACCTTGTTTGTATTTGTTGCAACCGATAAAATATGATACAATATTTGTTTGATAATTAGTTATTCTTCCAATATGAGGTCCTCCATTGCATGGGATATTGTCTTTTTTGAAATTACAAGGAGTATCTTTTGCTGCCAAAAATAAACTAGTAAAAATTTGGATTAGTAATTAAAATAAGTTTTATACATTTGAAATTAACAATAATTAGTAAACTTACGTATATGTCTTAGCTTCTTTAGTATTATTATTATTTTGTTGTGTATAATGTTGAAAAATTTCAGAATCAAAATCAACACTACAGTGTTCTTGATTAACAAGTTCAGGATCAGTGAACTGACAAAACTTTATTCCTTGGCATTTTCTTTGATTTTTTTTAACGGGTATTCCTCCAAAAAAAGGGCATTCTTGAATATTTGTGGTACCGCCTGAACCATTTGTTGAATATTGAATCTACATTGTAATAAAAAGTATTTATAGTTAAAGATCTATAGCTTGTTGTTAAATTAAAGGTAAATAATATATACTTACATCTGAAAACGCGTCTGTATGATTTTTCCATCCAGTTACATTGTAAACGGTTGCAACTCCTTCTGAAGATGTATCTGGATATTCTATAGGAACAGTTGTATATATAACTTTGGGAACTCGCAGTTGAGAAGTAAAGAAAGCTAATGTTTCTTCGCTTTCTAATTCGTTTTCGCTATCACTATTATTCTCTCTCTATTTTTGTTTATTAGCTTTTAATAATTTTCTCTTTAATAAAATAATATAATTTGAATAACATTTACTTACCATTTTAATTAAGTCTTTCTCATTATAATCATCTATATCCGAAAGTTCAATAATCGAAGACATTATGAAGCTTGCGATTAATCGAAGATTGATTATGTTTTAAAAAGTGTATTCTGAAAAAAACGCGTTACAAAATTTTTTAAAAAAATGAATGTTACGTGTTGTATGTACTAGTTCTATGAATTTAACTTAAAAAGCTAAATCATGGTTTAAAAAGATAAAAAAGGAATAAAAATTAGTTTTATTAATCGTTTTAACGTGAAAAAAACCCAATTATAGTTAAATAAAAAAATTCTCAATTAAAAAAATATACCATCAAAGTGCCTAATTACTATTTGAGATTCTGAAGATTCAATTAACTCCCATCCCTAACAGATTGGACCACCCATTTGCAGGAAATTTTCATTTAAATTGTTAACTTGCGGGAAATTTTTCAATTATCTACATAAATTACTATTTGATTAGATAGTTAATAAATCAGCAAACAAATACTTTCACACCCCCAAAAATATTTTTTCCTGAAACAGACATTTTCCGTAAGTAAATTATTTACTAACCTTTTTCCCAGATCAAATTAAGTGCGAAAAATGTCAAAAATATTGGAAATTCATTTATTTATATTAGATCGATACAATAAAATCTGATCTCGTAACACATCAATGACGTCTTATCAATTAATGTAACTAAATTTAATATATTACTATATATATACAAGAATATATCGAAAAAAAAATTTTATTTAATACGCCAACAATCTAATACAATAAAGGTAAATGAAATATTAATAATATTAATGACATCACTAAAAGAAATGATAACTTCTACATGTGCCTTGAAATCTCTTATAAAAAGAATCTTTTCTCTTCAATTACCATTAAAGAGGAATACATGCAATTCCTTAAAAATCCATAATGTTGCTGGAAGAAAAAACAACTTCTTACACTAAAAGTTACCCGAAAATTCTTTAAAACATTTGTTTCAAATTCCCAACAAATGACTTAAAATCGGAAAAACAGGAAAAAAGGCATTAATGTTTTTTCATAATGCCGTTAACCACTTTATACCAACCCAAAGATGCTTACCTTAATAGTTCCGTTCCAAAGGAAACTCTGAACCCTAAAAAAATAAGGTGCTAGTCTTTTCAAAATGTCATTAACATCGCGTCATTACAACTACACATTTATTAAGAAGAAATAAAAAAAATGGGTTAATATCGTTTTTAAAAGTAAATTTAAATAAAACTCTTACCACTTACCAGAAATCTGTTAAAAAAATAAAAAAATAAACATAGTTTCGTTTCAAAAAATTTGAGAAAAAAAAGAGCCAAGTCACAATCATGTGAAAAAAATGTTGTTTATACAATCATACGGTCATACTTTATTTTCTGGTTCGAGATAAATATACATGTACGAAATCATTACCATACATAGCATACATGTAACAGTTTGTAACACCATACATACATACATCGGTTTCCATACAATACTTGTTTTTTATATAATCCTTTTTTTGACAAAATGTATCATACTAAAAAATTAACCAATCAATTTACATTAAATTTTTACCATATTTTGATAATCATATGATAAATGATTTACATTTTTAATTTTATTTTGATTGGCTTTAATTTAATACCACTACATGTGATTAATGATCAATTATTTGCATGGTGCGTTACTTTTGAGAGCCACTGTATACCACCCGAATTTGAAAGTATTACAAATGGAGATTATATCAATGATATGAATGTTAACAAAGCAATACTAAAAGTTAACGATACCTTTAAAGACTGGAATGAAGTTGATGTAATTGTCAATCAGCATGCAAGACAAACTGATTTCGTTGCTATTAAAATCCGTAAAGACCTTGATGATGTTGACAAAATGATTGTTTGGCGACGTGTCTATACTTGTTGGAAATCAGGAACCAATAAACCGAAGAAGGTAGAGAATATTACTTTAAATCATGATGCTACCACAACCAAAACAAAATGTCCATGGCAAGCATCATTCTATTTTGGAAAACGCGCAGCTACTATACATCTTAGCAAATTCAACAATGTCCATAATCATCAATGTGATCCAGTAACTATAGAGTTCGCACCTAAAAATCAACATTTTCCGCAAGCAATGCTGGATAAAATTGAACATTATACCGTCAATAGACATGAAGTGACATCATATAAAGAAAAAGAATCTATATAATGCAATTCAAAAGTTCCGAGGGGTTAGAATTCATGATGAATCTGATGCAAAAACGATGTTCTCATATCTTATGGAACAACATGACAAGGATCCTGATTTTATTGTTAAAACACGATTGGAAGGTCCTTCAAATGAACTAACTGGACTGTTCTGGATGACAAGTCAGCAACATAACAAGCTTTGGCCTAAATATCATGATGTTGTCATACATGACAATACAGCCAAGACAAATCGATACGAAATGGCCCTTAGCTTATTTGTTGGTATTGATAGCAACTTTAAAACAAAAATCCTCGCTCAAGCATTAACAAAATACGAAACTTTGGCTGATTATAAATGGATATTGCAATGCACATTAGAAGCCACAAGTAATCTCACCTGTTGTGCTATTTACAGATGGAGATCTGGCGATGTTAGGTGCTGTCCAGATGACTTATCCACAAACTCGACACTTGCTATGTATCTACCATATTACAGAAAATGTAAAGAAGAAAGCCAAGTCTAAATTGCGTGGGGAGATAATCAATAATTTTATTGAGGATTTTTACCACATGCGCAATAGCTATACGCAGTGTCAATTCAAATCAAGATACAAAGAAATGCTCACAAAATATGAGCCATGTTGAGCTTACCTTGAAAATAAACTTTACCCAAGTCGAGAGTCATGGGCGAGGTATTCCATTGGAAAGATATTTACAGCAGGGGTTGAGTCAACTCAACGGTTTTAATCCATTAATGGTGTTCTTAAAAAGCATCTTGACTGAGGTTCACTTTTAAAGGAGCTAGTAAAAGAAGTTGAACGAGAATTAGACAAAGAAGCACATTACAGCCGTCTTAATAATTATTATGGGTCAAATCTGTCAATCGGTCTTCCATCAACATACGAAACCATCTTTAAAGACATTGATTCTATATTAAAAGAGTGTTTAATGCCTATACCATTGTCACTTCAGAAAGCACAAATGAAACAGGCGTTATTATACCAAGGAACATTAATCACAATAGATCAGCAGGTGAGTGGCTATAAAACAAATTTTTAAACTTTTAGTATGATGTTCAGTAGTATACTAATCCAATTGATATACTTATTAAAGATTAGCGAACCTGATATTCTACAGCTGATTGCAAAATTGTAAAACTACCCTATGATTTTCAATTTGAAAATTTGATATTTTGAATATTTCAAGAATTAGTAAAAAAGTAATAACTTTAACTCCTTAAAATTAATAAAGATTTTAAAGTAATTTATTTATATTGAATTATGTGATATATTTCTATTTTTATTTAAGAAGTTGAATAAACTTGATTTTTTACTGGTCTTTGAAAAATTCAAAATATCAAATTTTCAAATTAAAAAATCATAGGGTGGTCTTACAATTTTGCAATCAGCTATAAAACAATAGCAGATAACTGAATTTGAGTTGTTTTAAAAAATTCTGAAGATTTATTTTTAAAATTCTGCACAGATTTTATTCTGACATGCGTTGACAGGGTAGCAAATCTGCGCAAAAATTTAGGCCAGAGATCTTTGAAGATTTTTACCCTAAAAAATTTACTGATGAAATGTCTACCTTAAATCCTGGATAGAGTTGGGGCATTCAACACAGCATCCTAAGCACTCAACTCATTTCCAGCGAGCCTCAGACAATTATAGGTAGTTTTAATGCACAGTTACAAGGTTCTTCTCCTACTCAAGAAAATACCCATGAAAAAAAGCCAATGGAATTCTCTATATCAAAGGAAAATGAGGACAACGTTAGTGCTGTCTTTTTATTGAAAGCTTAATAGGGTTGCCTCAAAGTTTAAGTTCTGCTGTTATCTTTTCAGCAGACCAGGTATATGGAATGTCATATACTATTATGTCACAGATGTGCTCCTGTTCTTCTGGACTTGATACTTCATATTCTCAATTACAGCAGGTATGGATAAATTGTTAGCCGGTGATTTCTTCTTCTAGTAATTTTTACCTTTATCATCTGTAGCACGCGTGGATTTGTTTATCTCTTCTTTCCGTAAAATTTCGGATGTAACAGGCTGATTAACAGAAGTCATTACCACATCAGGTAATTCAGGCTGTGATGTCAGAACTGGATTTGGTGTAGGCATATCTCTATTATATCATCTGTGTCACAATCTTTGGCTGAATCATCTGAATCATCCAAATCGAATAGTCCTAATACTTCTAGTTTGTTATTGTAAAGCGCCATTTTATAGGCATTCCACCTTGCAGTCGCAAAATGAGAGGCTATAGACATTATTAACGAAAGAGCCATAGGTTGTATATTTGTGGTCTTAGACCATTCTTCAAAATATTTCAGGTTGGCACCATCGCCAAAAGTAATCATTAGGAGGGTAGCTTTATCTAAAGTACCGTCACCAGAAACCCATTTTCAATAAAGGTTGCTAAAGCCTTTTCAGCACCGTCAAAAAAAATTTCAGATAGTGTCGGCTGGAAGTAAACTCCTTTAATAAAAAGTAAAGGTTCGGTCTTTCTAGACATTTTGATAAAAATTTTATAATAAAAGAACATATTTGGGAAAGAGTTTTTTTTTTTAGTTTTGTTTAACTGACAACTTAATAGTTTTGCCCTATAAGTTAATTCTCCTAAGTGTTGCCTCAGATATGGATAAATTCTTCCTTCTACAAGGTTTTTTGGCTGATGTTTGTGCACCAGGATTTGCCATTGTTGACTTGTTTATCTTTTGTAACATGCTCTTTTCTTCTAAGAAGTTTCGGGTGTCACAGATTGATCAACAGGGGTAATTTTCACATCTGGCAGTATTGGAGGCGTATTGCATGGCTTTGATAAGCTAGTAGACAATTTGTCATCGATGGAAGGACATTCCAATTCTGTGTCAT